CTCCTGTTCAGATTCATCAAATCCAGATGGGCAGTTATTGTGGCCTGAAGAGATTATTTTTTTTTTTGTTTTTTTTTGAGAAGATAAGTATATTTTTTTTTGGTTATTTATCAAGTGTATTTAGTTAAAGTATGCGCTATGCATGTGCATTAGAGTGGTCCAATTGTTGTATGTCTAGAAAATGGGGCACCTGCTTAGTTTTTGCCTTTTCATATTTGTACCAACTTTCAATTTTCTACTGTGACTAATACAGGGTGCTCAATGACCTTGAAATGCGCTACTGGACCGCTGTGAAACTGGCAAAAATATTTATGATTTTTATAAAAAGCTACTGTTGCCATAACAACTGAAGCTTGTGATATTTTTTTAGATAATTTAAATTTGAAATGTTCTTAGGTTGTTTTACCAATTGTTTGATTAATATATGTACACAATACTTCTAGATTAAAATATGAGCATCATGAGCATCCTCTAAATTTATACTTAGAAATGTGAACTTTGGTACCAGCTCCTTATTTGGCCAGATGAGAAGGTGCCCCAAACCCTGTCTCGAAAAACAATTTTTTAACCACTCTAATGTACATTGCACATGTGTGGTTTGGGGTTTATATACAGAATTTTAGTTTTACGTTATACAGTTTATATACAGAATTTTAGTTTTACGTTATACACAGGGCCGGATTAAGAATGTGGGGTCCCTTTTTGAGTTCAAAATTACATACAATTAATTAAAAAAATAATTATAATTTTATTTTAATAGTATCGTTAACTATTGACTTCTAACCACATGTTTTCTTTTGAATTTCTCGCCTGAATTCCTTTATACTTGCCGCTCATGTTGCATTTAGTATTAAACAACTGACAACGGCAGAACAGAGATGGAATATTAGTACGAATATTTTGTCTTTTTGATCCGCCTTTTTATTTCTGCCTGTACTTTCTCACTCCTCATAGCTATTATTTCCTCGCAGGTTACTGAGAATAAGTAATTCACTTGCCCTCGTCCCTTATATCCGTAATCTTTGATATGTACGCGGGTCATTCTGAGCTATAATTTCCAGCAGCCTACGGAAATTTCCATTATTGTATTGTATTATATTATAAGCTAGGTTCCACAATATGTATTGATAGTGCTCACAAATCTTCTTAATACCTAGCGAGCTTTTCTGTAATATCTGAAAAATTATTTTTTTGCTTTCATCGTCACATGTGGGGGCCACGCAAATGTGGGGGCACTGGGCCGTGGCCCCATCGGTCGTGCTCTTAATCCAGTGCTGGTTATACATATTTACAAAGTAGGGCAATGGAAGGGAATGGATACTTCAGCTAGCGTATAATGAAGTAATATTTCTATGAAATTTGAAAAGTTCGTGACTTTTTTAATAAAAGATATATTTCTCGGCAAAGAGTGTTTTATTTCTCAACAAAGTCTCCTTTTAGCTCGATACATTTAGTCCAGTGGTTTTCCAATTTCTTTATTCCCTTCAAATCATAGGTTTTTCAAGATCTTCAAAGTAGGCGGCTGTTTCAGTAATAACCTCTTCATTGGATCCATTGAGAGTTAAATCTGGTGGATGTGGAGGATGTTCCGTCAACGGTTACGAAACGTTGGTCACACGGTTGCATTTAGGGCCGACTGTGAGCACGCGCGGCACCCATCGAGCGGATAACGTTTTCATACAAAAATATTCATCCAAATTGTTCTCTACCCACTCAGTTGATATGCTTATAGCCTCAGCCACTTCACAAATTTTCATTATCAGATCATCCAATATCATTTTATGGATTTGCTCGACAATTTCTGACATAACCAGCTCTTTAGGGCGACCTGAACCTTCGGAGTCACTTGTGCTGGTACGAAAACAACGGAGCTTCATAAACCACTCTTTAACCATTGAAATTGATGGTGCAGAATCCCCATAGTATTTATCAAGCATTTTATTCATTTCGGTAATGAATTTTTTACGCAAAAACTAATGCTGAATCAGCACACGAAATTCACACTTTCCATTTTCGTTAAACTTCACGAGGTTGTCTGCTTTCAATGGCTGTCAAATAAAAACTAATGGCGCGGCTTGCTCAAAATTTTATAGTAGTCTATCAATTGATGGGAGTTAATGCGTGGGCAGTTAAGTCACTAATTTTGCCGTTGAAGCCAAAAATTCTAAAAAAAAAAAATCCGAAATTTAACCCTAACCCTCTCAAAAAAAAAAAAATATAAATAGTAACACATTAAAATTAGCAGCTGCCGTAAAGGACAGCGAATGTAAATTAATTATACAAATCTTTTAGTAGAGTTGTCCAAAACCCCTCTCAGCATAGCGTTGTACGTACCTTGCACGTAAAAAAGTGCAGTGAATAAATAGAAGGGCCTAATAAGCCACGTAGATGAAACAAATACAAGTATTTGTGGATGTGCACCAGGAATGTCTGGTTGGGTGCTTCTATCCAACTCGTGAATATCTTCGAGAAGTCCAAAGCTAACATAACTGCAGTGCAGTGCTCTTTTGTTTGAGAACGGCTTTGAAATCAATCCCAAAACAAGCTTTGATATCAAGGGTAAGTGTTTATAAATGGGTTTGCTATCAAATTGCCCTCTATTTGATATCAAGCTTGAATGTTTACTGGTGCTGTGAATGTTGTGCTGTGCCAAATACAACCTACACCTGTCGGATATCCCGCTATTTCCGCCAATTGCGTCGTTACAAGCTTTATTAACATTACTTATGAGGTGCTACCGATGATACTGATTGAAATACTGAAGCCCTTAATGAACCAACTAATTGGGCCTTATCAATGTAGTAGCTTCAAGCACGAAAAATGTATTATTGCCTACATTTTCACAGCTTGTCAAATCCTGGAAAATACCAAAGAAAAGCTAACCGACACACATCACTTTTGAGAATTTTAGTGCTTATTTATTAGGCAAGTTGGATTTCAAACAAGATAAATACACACAGGGGAGGGAGTGTTTCCGGAATTTAGTTTATTTGTACCTAGTTGATGGATCAGGAACGGAAAAACGATAGAATTTTTCCAGCAATGGACGCACGCATTTTTCCGATTTTTTCGGAACATTTCGTGTTTGATTTTTCGGAATCCTTTGGTATTTTTGAGGGATTTTTTTTCTGCACCTTTCAGTACTTCTCCGTAGATAACCTTCAGGTAGGACACCTAATAATAAACCTAACCTAACCTAAGCACAAATCACTTACCATCACACCATAGGGTCCCCGCTATACACGCATCCAGCTCGGGACATTTATATTCGCAATCGGATTCCTTCGGATAAAAGCCGATGTCGGTCAATGTGTCATTGCCAGAGGCAGCGCCACCCGTCATCACGCTGGCATTGGTTTGTATATCGAGCTGTTGAATTAAGGAATTTCGTGTACGGTAGATTTCCAACCATGTGAATGCAATGTCGCCGGGCTCTTTCAGTATGGGTTCCAGTACTAAGCTGACTGGCCTGCAATAAAAAACAAATAAAAAAACAATATCAAACTACATATTGAGTTCACTTTATCGAACTTACTTGTTGGTAAATAAAGGCTGTCCATTTGTCCAATCTTCTGAGAATATATGCAACGAAGTCGGTCTCGGTCCACTCTGAGCTGGGCAAACAACGCGCATCACCTTCAAAGGTCGTCCCGCATATATGATCAAGCGATTTTTGGTGTGACAACGCATAGCATCCTCCGATGTCGGATCTATGGGCAAATAAGAGCCCCACGTCTGCACGAATAGTGAATGCTCCAATGTTTGTGCCTCAATGCACCAAGAGAGACCTTCACAACTGGAGTCCTGTGACTTCATAGGATACTTAATTTCATCTTCACCACCAGCACCTTTCAGCTTAAGTCGCTTGCGGCATTCACTGACTCGCTTAAATTCGTATGAAGCGAAAAAGTAAACATCTGCAAAGTCCTCCGAAATATTCAAACGTGTGACGGTGAATGATAGCTCCATGACACGTGAATTTGATATGAATGTTAGTGGCGCATTGCTGTAGAGCGTACTGGAGTTGTCACAGAAGCAACCCAATTGTATTTTCACATCACGAAAGGGCACATCGAAAAGGCGCAATTCAGTCAGGCGCCCCTCCGGGTCGAGTTGATTACAACGCGGACGCCCGGTGTGCAGATCAGAGTCAGTTGTACATGCTGTACCCTCACCGAATGTAACATTGTGTAACACTAGGCGGACGCGTTCAGATGTGCCGGCTTCGAAGCGATATAGGCACGTGAAATTTTTGGCTCCACCACGGCCGTAGAGGAAGACATTTCGTGGCACCTGTATGTTGCCTTTACGCTTGCGAAAAACGCGTGAACAGAGTAGTGGTACGGGATCTTCACCTCTGCGTCCGGGCCAAGGTTCGCCGCCCTGTTCGGTGTCCACAAATTCATAATTCAGCGAAAATTGAGCCGGAAAGAGCGCAGTGCCGGTGTGAGTGTGAAACTCCAGTTTCTGTAAAGAGAGATTGGGGATTTTTGCTTTGCATGAGTTTTTGGATTACTGGGCAATCTTTTTCGTTTGAGTGTCCCTTTTAAACCGACTTCAAAAAAGGAGGAGGTTATCAATTCGTCGGAATATTATTTATTTATTTTTTTGTATGTATGTTACCGTATAACTTTGGACTGCGTTAACCGATTTCTGTAATTCTTTTTTTAAAGGAAAGGATGTACCTGCGGGGTGGTCCCGTACTAATTTGGTTTAGATCCGACAATTTTATCATGAAGAAATTAACGGTACTCTTATATTTTTATATGCGAATTGACGTCGGTTTTGTTTTTTGCTTAAAAATTACTTGTTTGAGACAAATTGATGTATTCAAGCGGAGAGCGGATCCATGACCCAATAGGATAACTAAGAATAAGAATCCACTTGTGTTATTTTCAGCCATTGGACCTGAAATGGTATACGACCCGAGTATGACCTTAAGACCGGGCCAATTGTGTTCGAAAATCCCAGGCCTGATGTGACTCGACAACATCCTTACTAAGCACCATTCTATTAGCTTCGATGACACAACGTCATGCATCGCCCATCAGCACTACATCAGAAGTTGCAGAGACAAATAAGAACAGAGAAAAGTTGAGGATCTGCTGTGTAATTTTCGACTTTAGGGAGGTCTGCTCTACGAGATTTTCGATGCAACTCTCTGCAAGACCTATTCCAGCACAGTCTTATCAAAATATAAATTTTTATCAACCAAGTCGTTTGGTTAAGAAGGCAAAACATGCTTGCGAGGACTGTAGTAGCAAGATGACACTGGGCGTTGAGTTCTTTGTCGCAATCCTAACGCAACCCAAGAAACGAATTGATGGTTGCAATAAAAAAGTGTTTCAATTCTTCCGTCGGTGCAATTGAAGTCGAAATCATCAATACCTCTTTTAGTTCTTCTTGAAGAATCGTCGGAGAAATATTTTCGTTTGCCTTTTAAATTCTGGCCGAGCAACGACGAATGAACATGTCCAAATACTGAAATGACTCATTTTCGTCGGACCTTATAAAGGTGGCGTGTGTCTATTCATACATATAAATGAGTGTATCATACGGAAAAATGGATGCAGGCCTTCATATATTCTGTATGGCTTTGATCTTGGAAAATAAACCATTGACGAGCCTCTTACATTATGGAAAGGGCCCTTAATTTTTTACAAGACTGGTTGTACAGTCTTATATTTACTATAGGCTATGTAAAGTGACGTTGTGGATAACCTTCAAGTGCCAACATGGCAAGAACCTCTCCCAGCCGTTCAAGATTGAACGGAGTTTTAGACAAGGCGATTCACTGCCCATCAACCTCGTCAAACTTAACACTTTGGAGCTGTAAAAGACTTTGTATACCTAGGATCCAGTATTAACGTAACCAATAATATCAATCTAGAGATAAAGCGAAAAAGATCTCTTGCCAACAGATGGTATGTACTTTGAACTCTGTAGGTGATTGACAATCAAAGCGAAAACTTGGTCATTATTGATTGAAAATGAGTTGACTTAAGAAGCTTTTGAAATAACTATTCTATGGAAGATCTGTCGCCTTATTCCCGTCAACCTTGGCTACAACAGAAGAACTAAATGCAGATAGACTGGACAGAAAAACTGACGGAATTTCAGAAAGGAGGTAGGCAACTGATGTTTTGTTTTGGTCTCGGTTCAAAAAAAAAAAAATAAGAAGAATGACGTATTACCAACTATTGGCCAGGGAATAAAGGTAATTACGGCAGAAAATAACGAAAACGCTTAAAAATACTTGACGAACTCAGTGAGCGGGATGTCCAGGAGGAATTTATTTACACAAAATTTATTCAAACAAAAAATGTTTGAGTAGGCGCTTTGGTCAATAATAACGATCAGTAACCACCTATGCATGGTTGTAAGTCATGCGGAGTCCCTGCCAGAGACCGGCTTTGAGTACTAAAAAATTGGTGTACTTATTCATGATCCATAACAATTGGTGCAAATGCGTACTAATACTAATTCCAAAAAGTACTATGAATAATTCCCTCCCAAATCAATATTATTCCACTTACCAAATCTCGTCCGGAACTAACATAACTCTCCAAAGGACTACATGGTCTCAGCTTATTGAAGCCCAATGCATTATTGCTAATGGCAGTGTGATCGCATAACTTCGGTGTTTCATAATCATAGATTTCCAACATTAAACGTCGCTTGCCCTTCGAACTCATCAAAGAAACCGAGCTCTTTTCAGCTGATGACGTATCCTTGCTACCCTTACCACCACTACTACCACCCGAAATATAATTTAAACTCTCCTTTATGCCGCTTATGCCACTATTGGGGACACCACCACTCTGTTTGCCACTTGCACCCGCTCCAGCTTGCTGATAGCCACTATACTTATTTTCATTATTGAATATACTCGATTGTGTTGGACCATAGATGTATGTATCGACCGGATTCCATGCATTATCAATATTCACGCGTAAATTTTTACTCAATTTGGGATTTTGTGCACTGTAATAATAATTGCCGTAGGCGCTTTGATTCAAAGTAGTTGGTTTGCTTCCCGATGCAGATGATGCCACTGGTGGTGGTGATGGTGGCTGCCCAGTTGTTGTTGTAGTTTTCGATGAAACATACGTGCCATAACTGTCCCACATTCTTAGGCGCGTGATCCATGGTGGCAAATCAGCCTAAAATGATGATTGGGTTAAAGAAATACGGAAGTAAAATATGTGTTTCGAAAATAGCATTGAGTTGAAGTTCGTCCTTTACTTACTCTGCCTAGTGTGTTGTTGTCATGAATTGTTTGCTGTAATATCTGTAGATTGTAGCTTGTAAAAGACAACCAAATCAGATCGCCGGGATATCCATGAAAGTGGTAAGTGCATGTTGTATTCGGTGGTAGTGTATGCCGTGGGCTTACAATACGGCCCATTCGTCCACGCCGCGAGAAGAGTACATCATCTGCAGTAAATTAAGTTGGAGTTTGAGAGAGTTTTCATAGAAATAAATATTTAAGTAATTTAAGCATATTAGTAAAAACAAAATGCCTAACGGAAATTCACAAAAAAGAAAACAGGTTGGCAAAAGAGACGAACTGGGAACAGAAATATGAAAACAAAATTTTTCTTTTCCACTCACCTGGATTTGTTGCATTTATATGGAACTCGCAGGTATTTTTTGTGCCTTGTGCAAAATCGTATGAATCTGAATCTGTGAAAATGATATCGACATCAAGTTCAAACCCACGATTTGGAACGCCTTGTTGCAGGGGCGCTGAAAATGGGCTAGAATGGAATGCAACCAACATTTCAGGTCCACTGCAAAAAAAAACGTAATCAGGTCATTTATATGGAAGTAGATATAAAATAGACAAAGGCTAATAAAATGAAAGTTAGAAATATGGACGATTATTTATTTATTTATTAATTAATTTAAATAAAAAACTGAGACACGCACGGAAGAAGTGAAAATTCATAGAAAAAAATTCACAAAGGAATAAATTTGCAAAATATTTTTCAATATATGCGCGTATAGTATAGGAGGATTCTACGTGTAATTCTAAGCAATTTTGCCAAACTAACCATGGGTCTAAAATCAATTTAGAGTTTGCCAAATTGTGAAAATATGTGCCAAATGAAGAAAATGTGAAAATTTTCACTGTTGCGCCTTCTGGTGGAAGTTTTTTACGAGTTTTATGTTTGCTCTTTTTTATGTGACAAACTGCTTATTTTACAACTCGCTCTCTTGCTAGACAATTCTGGTTGCAAGTCTTGTGTAAGACAATTGAAGGACTCTAACCGAGTGAGCAAGGTACCATTCGAGAGATCCGAGGTTCAAATCCTAGGGCAGTGAACTTTTTTTTATTTTTTTTGTTTAATTTTTTATTTTGATGTTTAGATCTTATTGTTTTATATATTTTTTTAATTCCATTTAATTTTTAGTGTATTTTTTCTTTTATCAATGAATTTTCTTTCGTTTTAAATTTAACTTTCTTTTAGTTTTTAGATTTTGTTGTTTTATAATGAAAACTATTTTTTAATTTAAATTAATTTTTAGAAATTTTTTTGTTTTATTTCATTTGCTTAATATTTTAATTAAATTTTATTTCAGGTCTAGATTTTATTGTCTTAAGAAGAAAAGCATTAAATTTTTTTTTTCAATTGAATTTTTCATATGGTAATTAAATTATTCCTTCTATTCTTATATTTCATTGTTTTTAAAATAAACTTATATTACTTTATTTCTATTAATTTTTTGAAACTTATTTCATGCATTTTTTCTGTTTTTAATTAGTTTTTTCTTTTAAATTTTAGATTTTATTAAATTAAAAAGTGAAATATTTTTGTCAATTTAATTTAATTTACTTGCTTTTCTTCAATAAAATTTTCCTTTACTTTTTAAATTTTATTCTTTTACAGGGAAAAATATAAATGCATACATTTTAAATTTAATTTAATTTTTAGGACCTTATTTTATTAACTCAGTATGAAGGGAGACCGGTATGTTTGCACTTGGGTAGGCACTATGACCAATGGAAATCATCTATTACCACGTCTGCATGGTTGTAAGCAGTGCTGCCGAATGTACTACGATAGGAGTTTTTTTACTACTATTTTGTCATTCATACTCCCATACTCCCAAGGACCAATTATACTACTATTTTGCGAGTTAACTGTTTTATTAAATTTTTGAAAGTAACTCGAACAATGTCGCATTGAACACTGACAAAGAACATTCTTAAGCCATATTACAACATTATTCAAAACTTACGACTGCAGTTATGAATTTAAATTGAATATAAAACTCTTTATAACTCTTGGAGGAAAAGCTTGTATGTTGGTCCGAACACACAAGCGTGCCGGAAACAGCACTTAGGCTATACTACGAGTACAAAAAGAGGCCTGCTCTTTCATCTCATTCAAGGCAATAAGGGTAAAGGGTTTGTGCCTCGGGAAGTGACCACTTAGGAATTTCAAAAGTTATCTGCTATCCTACTTTTTTAATGAAGCAGACCCTTGAAGCCTTCCAGTCATTACTGAGTGTTCTAACTAGTTGCGGGCTAAGAAATACTTGACCTGAGTCCTTTCTAACCAAATCAGCAGGAATACTCGTGTGACCTGCCTGTATGTAGAGTAAAACCAGTTCCTTATATTTACCAACATAATTTACCTGAGACTTGCATTGCCTAGTTTGGAAGTACTTAGTTAGAAGGCTGACCTGCTCGCATTTGGACATGAGGTAGAATCCATCAGACGAATTGGATTTTCATTAATACGTGTTTTTTTCTTCGGGAAAACTACGTCCAAATTCTATTATAAAAAAATTTTTGAAATTGGCCATTTTTCGACACTTCAATGTTTTTTTTCTCAAAAACTGGACGTGCTAGAAAAATTTTGTAAATGCACTTCAAATCAGCATCAACAAATCTATAAAATGAGGTCGGCCCCGTTTTTGAGGTAAAATACGATCAAATTTTATTCAACTGTGATATTTGACGTGAACTTACCGCGACACCACACGTGGTAACCAGTCACCGCCACAATATTTTGCCAACACAGGATCATTTGTGGAGCTGCCATCATAGAAAATCAAATGATCTCGTTCTCCAGTGCAGTCCGACCACGCTCGTATGGAACGTGAAGTCTTGTTAAAACTTGCAATGGATCTATTGAAGTGGAAGAAAAATCAATAACCAATCGTAAATTATTTACTTTTTTTCTCTTTTTATAAGTAAATTTTATCAATTCGTTTACCTTTTTACTAGCGCCTTGTGTTGATTTTCTTGACTAACAGCAATCATGGCATGCTTACTGGTTGGCACCTCCTTTTGTCGTATCGTCCAATAACAGGTTACATTTCGCGGATACATGCCCGGATAATTTGGGCTTTGCAAATGGCATTTATTTCGATAGCACTCATCAAATTGGCGTGTACAATACGTGCCAGGTGTAACGCGCCCCAATTCCAAAGGCTTATCGGGCAGACCGTATCTGGAAATAAAAAAAAAAAAGGATAAAGGTGGTTTATTAAGAATGTTTGTCATTTTAATACAACAAATTCACTAATTTTTAAGCTATATTCATAAACAATTGACTCACAACTATACTTATTTACATACATACATATATCGTCACACATACCTGACAACAGCATCAGTTTGACTGATGAATTTGTAGCGTATTTTGAATTCGAATGGTTTCTCATCATGGATGTTCTTGGGCGGATGAAATACCTGGGAAAATATTTAAATAAGTTTTATTCTCTGGAGAAATATTTCTAAATTTATTTTAGTTGTTTTCATTTAAGGGGCAAAAATAAAATCTTTGACCGGAGTAAAAAAGCAAAGACCGCTGAACAGTTAACCACTTTTTTTTAGAAAACATCCATACGAACGGTCTAGCAAAGAAGGATTCCAAGCTAGGCAGTTCTACGAGTAGTACACAGTAATGAAAATTGCCAGAGTATCAGCGCAAAACGGGTGGAAAGCTGTCGCGACTGTTACATATGTATGCAAAACCCTGGGTATGTATGTAGATCAACTACGACGAAAACGTACCCTTGGAAGAAGCTTTTTGATGTTTTCTCTTCTTATTCTCTGTTTTAAATGGACTCGGTAGACAGGTAGATGGATCATAATTGATTTTGTAGGTAGCTTTATCTCTTTCTAATTTAGAATATTTGTTGTATAATTTCAATGACTCTTTGACCCTGAAGGCTCCAAATATGTATATATATATTCAGCTTCCCTTTGGTAAAAATGTTACTACATAGTTGTAAAATATTCGAGTATGGAGGGATTGAAATGTATTAGGCGGTACAAACAAACTTCAGCAGTCTGATTAAGAATTCGTACACCACTTCAAGGAAAAATAATAATAAATTAACATCGCCGTTGCCACATTTTATGGCTTGAGTTTTCACGAAAATATAGCCTTAAGATAGCAATAGCATGGGGATTATTGCCCCCAATGAAGATAGAAAGCTGCTTACTATCCCGAAAAGACGTATGGCGAGTTTGTTTCTACCAAAAAATATCCCTTTTGATTGCCTCTTTTTCTTTTCGCATTTGATTCTAAAATAAAGGCAAACGGGTGTTCTCTTCCTAAAATGTAAGGCAAAAAGGCGCATTCTCTGCCGTTTGGGGCTTTTTCGAGGAGATGGTTGCTCTTAAAATCGGATGGTTGCTTAAAACGGCATTATTACGAAATGCGTGAGCAAGACAAGGACAAGTGGGAAAAACAGGGCCTTGTACAGGGTTGAGTGTAACTTAAAACATATTTTCCACCGTGGACGAGCAACATTTTTTGGAAGAAACGGAATCACTATTAGAGAGTAAGCTTCTTAAACTCGATGGATCTACCGATCGTATATAGTAGACACTGTAGGAACAAAGTGTGGATTTATTTGTATAATTGCGTACTTTCCTAAATTTTTTGGTTATTTGAACTTTCTGTGAATTGATTTATGACAAATGTCATAAGTATTATAATATCATCCTTATTTTAGGTATATTTATTACAAACATTCTAAGTACAAACTCTGTGCCTACGTTCAATTTGTTTTTAATGCATGCAGAGTTAGGTATAAACAAAGGAACATAATCAAGCCTACAGTCCTCTCCTGACATCTGGATACTTTTTCGCATTCAATGAAAAAATGCTGTAGTATTTCCTATGACGATTCAAAAAAGCGATGATTTTCTTCAGCATCCTATAAGCACTATTGTGACAGTTATTCTTTTAGGTTGTCAATTATTGCTTTATGTTGCATCCTCCTTGTAGCACTTTGCCTGTCGAAATTCTATATAGTACCGCTAATATTGTTGCCTTGATTTTCTTCTATGCTTCCACAGCTCTGCTCACAGTTTTGTTCGGTATTTGGCTGCTCTTATTTGTGGTTTGTGGATTGATATTTTCATATATGCAACGCTGATCATCAACTACTTCCTCAAGACTTATGCTCAACATAAGAGGGCCAAAGCATAACGCAAAGAAGCTGCTAGCTTGTGTTCTTAAGTCCGTTATTTTCTATGGCTCAGTGGTTTGGGGAACTGCATGTGATACGCCATCATACTTGCATACATCAAGGCAGTCCAATCATTTCGCACGGTGTCGGCGGGTGTAGCGCTGGTCATCTCAGGATTGCATCTTATTTTACTCTTGCTCCAAAGAGACTAACACTTCGAACCGCGGCGATTCACACGAAAAGTCTTGGAAGGCGTCGCACAATGGAACAGTAGCGATACCGATGCGATCACTCCAATAGCGGTTTATGGATGCATAGGCTCATACTAAACATATCAAATTGGCTGGCAAGGAAACATGGCAAAGTAGACTTTTGATATTGCCCAACTCCTAAGTGGACAGGGCTCGTTTACAGCGTACTTCTGCCACTTCAAATTAGGTTACGACGAATATTGTAAAACCTGCGGTCTATTTTAACGTGGAAGATGCAGAACATATTCTTTTTGCATTTGGAGTAAATCCGACACCGAACTGGTTTGCTCATATGCGCTGCTAATTAGCAGTGATAGTCCAACAAGAAGTCTTGAATCTGCTCTGCTTATAGATAACGTTTGATTCCCTGCTCGTCAACACTTTCATTACGTTCATTATATTTCTGTCCAGTCACCCAATACGGGCGAACGCTCTTCGGTCAAGTAGTTGGTATGTATGTATGTGAAAGTAGAGCCCTATATCTGTCTGACCGTCAAAATGAATGTTTATGTGTGCATTCGTATAACCAGCAGTATTTGCCGCTTTTCACATTGTCAATTTCAGCTTGAAAACTACCACTGGGGTGCTTTAGCTTAAAACACCGTGTTAAAGGGAATTCCCTAATAGCTTGCTAGCTCTTAAAATAGTGAAAACTTCTAACACTTACCTTCACAGATGCAGTTACAGTTGATGTTTCGCTGAAATATAATTGGGGCCCTGTTGCTTTGCCGCACCAAGAACCGCCTGTGAATGGACGCCCAAGTTCGCTCAGCTGCAATTATTTTATTACCAAGCATTTTGACATATTCTTTAGAATGAACAAATTCGAATAAAAACTTGCCTGCATAAAACCCTCCGGGCAGCCTGGCAACTCGCCAGCCGGGTTAACATTGCTTTCGTAACCGTCAATATCTGAGTCCACCATGCCTTCATCGAAGCGACCCACTGTAAAACTATCGAAGATAATCTGAGGAAAAAAAATTATAAAAATTGTATTTAAAATTTTGATTTCCAGAAACATAAATTTTAGCGAATTCAAATTTAAAGTTTGAACACATTCATATTTGCTACTGCATATATGTACTTTTGTATGTTTGCCTATTCATAAATAAATGCACTAATTTAATGTCCCTAATAGTCGTTCAATTTGAATTCAATACTCTAAATAGTATCTATTTAATCGTACTTACTTGCACAATATCGCCTTGCTCACGCCCTGAAGCTGTGAAAGTTAGGTGACATAAAAATGGCAGTCGACTCCATTGTGGTGTTGGCACTTTTAATGTATAGGTGCGACCAATGTCACCGTAATAAGTTCGGTTGCAAACTGCAAATTGATAATAAAATATTTATGTACATACATATGTATATAAGTATGTATGTTAATATGTATAAAAGGTTTTTCATTTATATATGCAGTTGTATTTGTGTACATTCAACTATATAAAAACGTACAATCTGTAATGCCTTACCACAATTTATAAATAAGTAAAAGTTCAGAGTAGCATATCCTCCTCAACGAAGACACAAAAATTATGAAAAAAATTTTAATTTGTACTCGTAAAATATGTTAATACTCAACCTCATTCTCACCAAGCAGCATGCGCATTTAAATTTAAAACTTTATATACAGTGATTCGCGCAAGTGTTCACGTGTTGATTTTTTTTTTTTAAATATTTACAACGTTTTTCAAGGAATTTTTTTTTTGTTATTTTTCTATAAAAGTATTGTCCAAGCTTTAGCCAAAACCATATAAATCAGAGTTTCAAATTTTCATCTGAGTCTTTAAAAAAATTTTGTGTATGTGTTTTATAGCCCATAAAATTTTAGTCTCATGAAAACCAAGTTTCAAGCGTCTAAAAATCGCGTTGATTTTTTAATATTTATTTATTTTTTGCTGACGGATATAAGAAATAAATTTAACTCAAAAAACGTTGTGAAAATTAAAATAAAATCAACACGTAAACATTGTGTGAGTCACTGTATGTAATACTTAATAAGAGACAGCGGCGTAGCTGGGGGCGGTGAATGGCTACATCCACCCCTCCTTCGGCAATATACTAAGATTTTTTACTTTTTGAACGACTTCAAAAAAGGAGGAGGTTATCAATTTGTCGGAATATTTTTCTTATGTACATATGTTAGCGCATAACTCTGGACCATGCCAACCGATTTCGATAATTCTTTTTCTATCGGAAAGGTGGTGTGCCAGGGGTGGTCCCGTACTAATTTGGTCCGATCATTGGATCTTGAGGAAATTGACAATACTCCACAAAAATTTGTATATGGGAATTCAAGTCGGTTGCGTTTTTTGCTTAAAAATTACATTTTTATAAATATTTGAGATTATCGGTTGCTGGATTATGTATTTGAATATTGAGCGTGTAAAAATCGCAGGAAAAAGGGTATTTGCTTAAAAAGGTGTCACTATTCAATTTTTCAAATTTCAAATGAGAATATTTAGAGAAAATTAATCATCTAGTTGCAGCTAGTAGTTGCCGGCCGTATGTTGACAAGGGCATTTCTCTGACTTTGTCTCAGGTGCTGCTGGCGAGTGATTTAAGGACTTTGTTGCTGCCCTGTCCATTGGTTGCGACTGCGGTTGTGTGTGCTCAGAAGGAGAGCTAGCTGTTATAACTTTTTTGTGTTATTAATAGTTGGACTTGGCGAGAGGAAACATCTGAGATAAGGGTCAAATAAACCTATTCCCGATTGGATGGACATTTACCGGATCACTGTCGAATAGGAGCTCATGCGGTACGACTTAACATCCGACGCATATTGCAATAGCAGTTTAATGGTCAACGCAAGCATATCAGCACTCGCTTTTCAACTGCCCTGCGTACGCTAGCCTAACCCGTTCGGAAATAAATCTCGATTTTGAACAGACGTTGGTTAGATTTTCTTTCTTCCATCTAGCGCCCGACAAGAAAAACTATCGAGCCGCCAGACACAAAGGCAGCGCTCGCTCTAAGCAGCCACTGCCCGGCGATCCTGGGCAGCTTCCGTCTAATGAAATGTCGAATTACCATTCAGAATTCCCATACAGTGCCTAATATAAAATGAAAAACTGGGCATTATCTACAATCCTGGTCGTAATTAGGAAAAACCTTTTGAGAAAGTGACAAGGAAATCATTGTCAGGAATATCTGGCCAGCATCAGGATCAGTTGCCCAAGTCAAGGTATTAAATGCTAGAGCCAGACAGCTCTAAGCCAATAAACTTAATTCAGGGCAACCTATCCTGTGGTCGTCAAGGTTACCCTTTTAAATGCCGCTCCCCCGCTCATAAATGCCGCTCAGCCTGTGGCCACTTCAATAGCACTTTATATGTCGCCGCTTTGCCGCTCATTGCGTGGCCTCGAACTAATGCTGTCGCATGACAGATTTTGTCCTGGTGCTGCCAACGTAAACGTACTAGCACCTGAACTGGTTAACCAAGTCAAAATATTGCATGGTAGTGTCAGGCGCTACGAAAGATAACCGTTGATGAGAGAATCTATTCAGCGCCAGAAGTGATTATCTCTCATTAATTTTTGTGTACTAGATTATCTGTAGAAAGGATTTTCATGCCGGCACCTGTTCTTGCACTGTCGTGAAAATCTCAGTTACCGAAATCTAGATAGACTCTAGACGAAATCAGGGCCTTGTCTAAAGAATTTCCGGTCGAGAAGAATTTGGCATGCGGCGTTAATTACTCGCAGTGACGTTTTCAGTAAAAGTCTTACCACTCACTGGTACAACAATGGACCAAACAAATTTATATTTTAATCTGAACTTCGCAGGAATACCACAATGTTAGGTTACATTGTATCATCAAAAATAATAACGAAAATTACTTAAAGATATATAGAGAGATGTGGTGATCTCCGAAATTAACGCTTTAATTTCTACTATAGTTAATTAGTTCTACTTTCCATAAAAATTGCTTCAAGCTTAACACAATTGTTGGTAAAAATACTTAACAAAATAAATTTCAAAGTTTGTGTGTATTTTGTACAAAATACTGGGTATCTGCTGAAAGATGCTACAAAAAAAAGGTAATAGCTTTCTTCCTGCGCCAGCAGTCTGCTCCATTTAGTTTTATTTCATTTAGAGCTCCTTATATTTTCCGCAAATGGAGGATTGGAACCATGAAACTATGATTTGGATTGTGCGCCGCTTGCACGAGTTGAAGTCCGTAGTATCCTTCCTAAGGGAATATAGCGTTACCTTAAAAAGTGCTTTCTATATGTTTTGCTAATTTAGCTTTAATCTCTCAATAGTTTTGATCGTTGGTAAACTCATTGAAGCAGAATGGAGCGCTCATTGAGCAATCATTTTATTTATACTCTAAATATGATGCGCAGCTTGCTTGGTTGTTCGTCATCGACTTCTCAAGATTCGGTCTTTTCTCTATTCTCAGTTCCTGAATCTAAAGTTTGGCATAAAAAGCTTTGCGGTTTTGTTGTTTAAAATTTTGTGTTTTAAAAATATGAGTGAGCATTAATTTATGACTCGAAGCGATGCAATTAAAAGTGATGCCATTAATACGAATAAACTATGAGAAGTTTATAGTAAAGAGAGCGTAAATAACGATAGCACTCTGAGTTTTTGAAATTGGAGTGCTAATAAAAAATTTACCTCCTCAGAGCGAGAGCGTACTTTGAAGGCTTTACGAAATCTGTTTTAAGAAGTTCAGCGAATTTTGCTTGTAAAAACTTGGATATATGTAATTATATTTTGTTAATAAATAGAATACAGCGAATTTAGGGTTAGAACTCAGCACATTAGGTCTAATATTAAAATTTGTTGACGGGCTTTTGAAATATAGTAGAAATGTAGTAGCAGAGGTCCACTAAAACCAGTAAAATTTTTAAAGTGGTCTACGAGAAAGAAGATTTGGGAACCTCTTATTTAAAAGCCATCCATATACATGACAATTGAGGCGATTCCCACTTTGGCCCCTAGTCAGTAATGCATAACCTTTTGATAGAATGTCGCAAACGTATCACCAACCATGGAGACCATTTAAATTTAATTGTTTTTAAAACCAATTAACAAAATTGTTTTATTTCTCAAATGAATAAATAAGGATTTATTTTTAAGTAAACAACAAAACCGACTTTAATTGTCATATAAAAATTTAAGATTACCGTTCTTCAGGATCCAATGATCGGATCTAAACCAAATTAGTATGGGACGACCTCTGAGAAACCACCTTTCCTTTTAAACATGGTTCAAGTTGTGCGGTAACATACACTGCCGGAACAAAGTATTGGCACAGCAAATTTTTCACAATATATGCAAAAATTTTTATTCTAATATTTTGCCGCCAATTTTGTATACAAATATGGTTCATTCAACAACAAAAAACATAAAAATATAATTCTTAAACTTTGTGCAAAACTCGCGAAAATTCAGCAAATTTTCATGAAAGTTTTCAACCTTTTAATCAGATTTTTTAGAATTTTTTGAGTATGCAGTTTTGCAGCCCATTAAATTCTAGTAAAAAAAAGAAAGTTCGGAGATAGTCAATAATCGCGTTGATTTTTGAGAATTTTTTGTTGTAGGTGTTTTGCATTTTTTCCATATAAAGCATTTTCAAAAAAAAATTTTTGTATGGGAGAGACTGCGTGAAAAAAACTGCCAAAAATCAACGGTAATCCCAAGCTACTTAAAACTTGCACTTTATTATAATAAAACAAGTAAGAGTAGCGCTGTCTTCGGCTATGCCGAAGGCTTCATACCTTTCATTAACATCTGCAAATTTTACTTTGACAGATTACTGCTTTTGAATACATCTGCATACATCGATAGAGGAGTTACATACTTACATATATAAAAAATCGCATCTTAACAGTCAGAGGTATGGAAGATATACCTTATATAGCACCAATCTCAGTGATTTTCACTGCTATGTGATCGGTATGTAACCCGGTAACACAATTTATTGGGTTTAGTTTCCTACATAAAGGAGATATATCGCAAAAACTGGTATCTGAACAATCAGTGGTATAACAGATAAAGCTTATACAGAATAGATTTTGACGATCTTCTCAGTAGAATTTGTGTTATTATTTATAAAATAGCCAACGAAATTTATCGGTTTTAGCTGTCCAAATAAAGGAGTTTTACAGTAAAACCCCATATCTGAACAATCAGATGTACGGAAGATACATATATGTTATAGTCACCCGATCCTTGTTATTTTCACTGTAAGTATTCTGTTAATAATGAGTGAAAATGGTACGAAATTTCATGTTCCTAGCTGCATAAATGGAGGAGTTATGATAAAAGACCTCATATCTGAACAATCAGTTGTATGGGGGCTGCAGGTTATAGTGACCCGATCTTTGTTATTTTCACTGTAAGTCTTCTGTTGATAATGAGTGAAAACAGCGCGAAATTTCACGTTCCTAGCTATATAAATGGAGGAGTTATAACGAAAAATCTCATATCTGAACAATCAGTTGTATGGGAGCTATAGGTAATAGTTACCCCAGCTTTTTAATTTTCACTGTAAGTTTTCTGTTGATAATTATTGAAAACAGTGCGGAATTTCATGTTCCTAGCTATGTAAATGGAAGAGTTATAGCGAAAAATTTTATATCTGAACAATCAGTTGTATGGGAGCTATAGATTATAGTGACCCGATCTTTGTAATTTTCACTCTAAGTATTCTGTTTATAATTGGTGCAAGTACTGCAAAATTTCATGTACCTAGCTGCATAAATGGAGAAGTTATAACGGAAAATCTCATATCTGAAGAATCAGTTGTATGGGAGCTATATGTTATAGTGGTCCGATTCTTCCGGTTCCGACAAATGATTAATACATTATAAGAATACACCCACCTACCAAATTTTATCCGGATATCTCGAAAACTGAGAGACTAGATTGCATACAAACAGACGGACAGACGGACAGACGGACATGGCTAAATCGACTCAGCTCGACGTTCTGATCATATAAGTATACATTTCAATGGGTCTATCTATTTTTGTTCTGGTACTTACAAACATCGGACCAAAGTTGTAATACCATTTCATGCTCATGAAAGGTAAACAAATATTCCGACGAATTGATAACCTCCTGATTTTTTTAAGTCGGTTAAAAAATAAATTGCATGAATTAAGCAACAAGTTATTTGAGTTTCTTAAAGTAGCAATATTCATCAGCCACCCTGTAGAATGCAGATTTCAAATCCAAGTTCTTTAAAAAAAAAAACATGTTTTATGACTTTCCTACGTATTGTTTCATTCTACATATGTCTTAAAGCGTCTTCTCTGCTCAACATTTCTCTTAGACATACGTACATACATAGTAGTAGATAACTTCAACAGCAACTCCACTTTTGCTATTAAATAAGTTTTCGACAAGTTTCCTTCTAAGATTTACTCACCCGAACAATGTTTTGGCTCATCGCTGCCATCTTCACAATCCGCCCGTCCATCGCAGAATTTGTCCAATGGTATGCAAATGTTGTTATTGCCCTTGCAAGGAAACTCAGATACGCGACAAGCGAAGCCCAACATAATTGCCAATTGCACCAGTACCAATGTGAACCAGGTGCCCCATTTGCCAGTGTAACCAAACATCTGTAAATAGTGAATACATATATGAATTCAATGAATATGATTTTTATTATAAGAAAAAAACTTTGAACTTAAATTTTTAAGATGAGCAATACTAGTATAAATGCACACCGTGCCATTTTCTGCTTAAATTCCTTGTGTTATTAGTTAGCAAATATGCACGCAAATAAATAATATACCCCTACTAAATTTCAAAAAAATTCAAATCATCCAAACTTTGCCATTTGTACGTCACCCCATTGTCGGCTGAGACGACATCATAGGCACCCACTTTTATAATTGACAGCAATTCCCTGCGGTTGCTCAGTACTTTACAATGGAGTGCATTTTGCTACAGTCACCAACACCAACACCAACACCAACACCAACACCAACACCGTCGTCGTCACCGCGCATTCACAAACTTTATTCAGCTTACGCCTGCAGTTTAGCTTATGTAGTCAAATATACGGAAGCGGTGGCGTTAAGGGGTGAGTTCAACTGTCGGCGTCGCGTCGGTGGCTATTTGGTGTTGCTGGTCGGCCATTGTGGTTGAACGAATCGAGCGCGCCTGCTTTCAATTGCTTAAATATCCTCTTCACTTTATTTCCTGCACTGCCTGCTGCTTTGTGTGCTGTGAATTTCAAAACGCTTCATTTATTCTACAGCAGCTAAATCGGAGTGACCAAAGGAGAGGTAGCTCCTCTGTATGCATGCAGGTATGTAGGTGCTCGCACTTGCATCCAAGCAAACCAACACTGAGCTGAGGATGCTGTCGATGGTGATGGTGATGGCGATGGCGCTGGCGTTGGTGATGGCGCTGGCGTTGGCGATGGTGGTTGCTACTATGTCTCGAGGCAAGGGTATTGAGTGCACTAAACTTACAGGAACTCGCCAACAAATGATGCCATCAAATTCACCATTTGCCTTGCAACAACAACGACAATAACAGCAACAATATTGTAGCTTTTCAACTAACAAACAATAAAAGTAGTGCCCACAAACGCTTCACAATGGGGCCACAACAGGAGCGGCGGCAGCAGCAGCAGCAACAGCAGCGGCAGCAGCAACCAAAGGTATTAAAGGAAGGCGAGAAATCGTTGCAAAATGATAATTTAAATGCTGTGTTGTTGCACGTTTTTGTTCTTTTGCTATTGTTGTTACCTTTTATTTGTTGTGAACCCATGCAGTTTGGTAGTGTGTTTGTGGCTGTGATGTGAGTGCCTACCAATTTACTTTTCAAGCTTCTACACTTATAATCTCCATTGGAAAGGAATCTTTAGCTTGCGATTTTAACATTGGCGGCCGTTAAGTATGCACTTGTAAATGTTGCATAATCTTGTTGTAGAAGCAAGTAGAAGTTTGTTTTGAAAGTGGCAGTGAAACTGTAAGCATAATATGCTTATGAAATAAAAATGTTGGCCAGCTTTGGAAAAAAACACGCTCACAAACATGCATTTACTTATGTATGCAAAAATAGGCATTTCAAGTCATTCAATAATTTAGTACGAGCTAATTTGATTTTGACCGATATATTTTTTACAATGTAGAATTCATTTTACAAGGACATTTATTGCGCTACTTTTATAATACTCGAGCAATAACGCTAACAAGGCTGTAAATGGCCGATAGGCTCTGATTTTGCTAATCTAAGCTTGGATGAGAAAGTTAGTTGAGTATTTGTTGGCGTTGGTTGATTTTTTCGAGAGGGTGTGAAGATAATGTATTTAGAGACAAATTTCCGTCAAGCTTGATTTGGATATACACCGGTTTCAGCGTTGTGGCATCCAAAGCAACTAAAAAATTTCACAAAAATATAGAGGCGTATTCTCAGTCGAAATTAGTTTTGTACTTACATTTAATTGTAGCTTTTTGACAAAATTTTTAGTGGGTTATCTGTCAAAAAATTGTCAACTAATTTTAAGTACCAACTTAGTTTTGACTATGAAAACGCCCCATAGTTTCTTCCTAAAAAGTTACTCTATAAATAAGTGATTCTTAACCTTTAATCCTTGTAAACACCCGAAGTGGTCTGCGCAGCCATCCAAAAAGCTAATATACGAGTGTAAAAGGCAAGCGCCCTGTTCCTCACAATATATTCTCAAAAAGTGAATTCCAACGTCTTTCAAAGGCACGTATTGTATGTAATACATATTACTCTGTGCGACAGTAAAATTTACACTCAGCAGAGTCAATATGCTCGCGAAAATAGGGACCAATTATAGTAAAACTGCGTTTTAAGGTTTTCTCTTAGACGTCAAAATTTTTTAAAAGTATTTTGAAATTTGTAATTCATGATTAATATTGGCAAGAAATGAAAGAGAAAATTAACATTTTAGTACATAAGGACGAATAGGTATTGAAAATGTGATTTAAAATTTTATCCTTGAAAATGCCCAATGTTTATTTAAGAGAAAATTATATGTTCAGGAACACGACCAAATCTTCGAATTTGGTCTTTCACACTTTATTAGTTTAGGCTAAATAAAATTAAAAACGAGTGTTTTCAATTCGTCCTTGTTAAACAATATGTATATTTTTCCGATTCTGCAGAATTTTCCCTTTCATTTGTTACCAATATTGTTCTTCTACATTGCACTGTTTTTTTTTTTTAAATTCGATAAGCGAATCATAGTACTGCAAAGCTTATTTTGAATTAATATTACGAGATACCAGGTAGTGAGTTTTGCCAAAGTACCTTCGATATATGCTAGAAAAACTTTTTTTTTTTAAATTATGTTTGTGGACCTGCATATCGTCACCTGAAATGCAAAAAGACGTAACAACATCGTAAATGAAATGAAAAAGTAGTGACTAATATTTTAATTTTTTTCATAAAATGATGTGGGAGTTATAATTCGATGAACTCCATCATATAAATCAAAAAGTGAATTTTGATTTTTTATTAGTAATGACTTTTTGCATTTAAACGATGATGTTTGTTATGTTAGACGTGAATGAACACTGCAGGGAAAACCTCAAGTCCACAGTCCAAATTGATTTTGGGTCAGAGATTTTGGGCCTGTATGGACCTTTTTCCTAGATCGGGTAGTTTTCCAAAGAAATTCTCATTTTAATTGGCATCGTGAAGGAAAAATATGCAAACTTTAAAGGCTGTCTGCAGTTCTCAGGAAATATTTTTCTGTATTTCTTTTGCTGGAAAAAGCACTTTACTTTCCCTGTAAATGTTATTGAAGATATAAATGCACGAGCTTTTTTCTTGAGAGCTGCATTGTGATTCGAGATTTTTTTCCTTTTCTTGAACGTAATCTAATACATATGAATTTTCTTTTGCAGAGAAAAAAGTTTAAATAACAGATTTACAAAAAAATCAACCTACGAAGGACACTAAATCGGTGTATAAATAAAAATGTTGTGAATGATAAAATGAAAATACGCAATGATTTTTGTATGAAATAAGAGTTTTTTTTATTAGTAGCTTGATTTTCTTATAAGAGAACAGGTTTCAATACGAATTAAAGAAATTGACAAAAAATGTATTATTTTTAGCATGATAAGGTTTACATATGTTTATTCACGATGCAAATTATAACAAAATTAACTTTAGGCGTCTCGGCGTTTTTGTGTAATTTTATCGTCCTTACAGTGCACAGTGGCCGGAATTTAATTTTTTTTTTGGCATAAAATCTAAAAAGAAAGTTATCATTTTCAAACTTGGTACATATGTTTTTCATATTAGCAAGTCATGGTAAAACTTTTGGGCCGATCAGATAACCCGTACGCCCCGTCTTCCCCTCTCCCCGTTTATAATGTTGCTTTTGAACGATAACCTTTTTCAAAACGTTTTTAAAACTTGCTTAAACCGCTTTAGTGTGGCACCCATATTGTGATACATATTTAAATTATCTAATCACCACAACTCAAGTTGAATTTGCTTATTTAAACATGTGGCAACTCTACTAAATATAGTTCTGAATAAAGCCTTTCAAAATATTCAAACTAAGGATTTCTTAGGGGGCAACTCTGATGAAAAAATAAAAATGTATTGTGCATCTATAGGTCAAGCTCTTCACACCATATTTTTTGTAAATTGAATGAACTGTGCAAATCTGATGTCATTACCAAAAAATTCATATGTATATGTGAGGTAGTAATTTTTAAAAAGGTGGCAACCCCACTAAAATAATAAAACCTTATAGAACATCCGGGCCCTATCCTTTCTCTTTTCACCTCAATTTTAGTCTAACTGACTGTGAAGATATTATAATTTTTAAAATGGTGGCAGCCCTACTAAGAAGATAATACATTATTGGACATCTAGAGGCCAAGTACCTTCATTTGACACCTGATTTTCTGTAATCCAATGAACAGTGCGGGTTTTATAATTTTTTAGATAGATGGCAACCCTATAGAAATTCTCAGGCCTAAAGATAATGCCTCTATTAAAAAATGTCCACAAATCCGTTCAGTAGTTTTAAAGATTAACGTGATGAAAAAATCTCGAATTTGCTTTATTCTATGTAAGGAGGATACATAGATTTCTACGCGTACTTCGCTTAAAATGTTAAATTTTGGAAAAAGGAGCAAAAATGAGAAAAAACTGTTATTACTCAAACAAAATCTAATTTTTTTATTATTAGTTCGCGTCATAACTTGTCAGCTTGCTGGTTCTACTCCACGGAACACGAAAATATTGTTTAGTATTTTTCTTTAAATACGCACTACAAACACATCAAATAACAACAAACACACACACACACGATATGCACATTAACTAATTCTTATTAGAAATACCTTGACCTTTATTTTCACTATCTAATTTTGTTTATTTATATTAACGCAACTTTTACAAGCTCATCACAATTGACTTATAATTTTGTACCAATTTTGACAAAATAACAACTAATCATACACATGACTTTGAAAGCGCTCTGAAAGCACAGGGTTGATACTTCAAATATGTTATTTGGAAATTTTCTTAGTTGACATATGTACTTTTATAAAAATAACTGATATCAATAATATAGTGCTATAAAAATCTTGAATTTATGCAAAAAAAAAAT